CCCTAATATGTATGTATGCAATTTATGCAAAAACGCAAATAAATACAGTCTGGAGCTAACTTATATTTTTGTATGAAGATCGATGCAATCTGATTTTCAGACAAATCGTTTCATTTGGGTTTAAATGTCGCCAGATTAACGAGTAAAATTTCAACTATGGAGAAAATGTAGTTTCTTTCCTTGATTAAACTCCTCAATAAGGAAGGAAAAACATCACAGATCAATATGTAAGTAAAATTGATTTATAAGTACATATTTTGGTCTGTCTAAGAGAGGTGTAGAAGTAACTGAAGACGATCACCGCTCGCCGACAAAATAGTTCAAAAAGACAAAAAACCGATTTTGTAAGTTTGAAAATAAAAACAAAAGATATTGCAGAAATATTTAACGCATCTTCTGCGAACTTTTTGAACATTCTTCATGCTCATCATGTTATGTCTAAGACCAATGCAATGTATGTGCCACCGTAGCCGGGTAGTGGGAAGTGCATATAAATATCTACTTGGTAAGACTCAGATGTGGTGTCTGGTCAAGTTTATATACATATGTAATATATATATATATAGTAGCTTAGAAATGTTCGATGGTATCAGGTAATTGGAAGTGACACTAATTCTAGACAGCATTGGCAGAAATGTGAAGTGCTTAAACATTTCCTATAAAAAAATGTTCGTAAATTCATTGGAAGGGTTGTTCTACCCTACACGTATTTTGAGTCCTCGCATATTTAAGATTGATAATTTATACAAAAGCCAGGCAAGTAGCGCTAATATTGAGAACTCGAAAAGAGCTCTGCTTTAATTTTTCGCCATGTTTAGATTACCCTATATCAACGATTCTGGTAACATCACTTTGATGTGGTTAAGTTAGCAAGTTCTTCCACTTTTAACAACGGTAACTGCAGAAAATACTAAATTCTTCTATATTCGTCTTTGACAAGCTACACATTTTTTGCGCAACACTTTAATTTTTCCATGTGACTGCCATAGAATCAAATATGTATGTCTATGCATTGTAGACAAACAGCAAAGCACCAAAAATTTTGTTTGCAAATCTTTGCAAAATAAAGCACAGATATGCAAATTTTACAATACTACAGCATCAAAATTCTTTTTGCATTGCGCAATTTTCACGCTACTTAATTGTTGGATTATTTTCCTGTGCTTTGTTACCATTCGTATACATATATTGTTTATTTTTTGCTTGCTCGATTTTTGTTTCACTCATTTTCTTAGTCTCATGCCATAATTAGGTTGTATATTATCTTTACCGTTGAAAGATTTTTCGGTGGCGTCGATGGTGGCTGCGGCGGTGGTCCACGATTTGTGCGTAAATTCGCCTCGGTTGCATTGATCGGCGGTTGTTGTTGCTGCTGCTGCTTCTGTCGCTTCAGTGTTAAATGCTTAGTTAATTCGGCATTGAAATCTAATGGACCATTACTGCTGCTGCCGCCACCGGCGGTGCTTGCATTCGCAGGTGGTGATGTGTCGTTGCGTCTATTCGCTGCCGACAAGTCATTGGACGCCGTTGGGACTGCTGGTGCTTGTGCTAAATGCCATGCAGAAATTAAAAGAAAAGAAAATAAAATAAAATGAAACAATAGTTAGTAAAAGTCACACAATGCAATAGAGGCGTTGTTTGTAGCCTGCGCTACTCACCACGACTACTGCCATTGACTGGCTTCAGTTTGGGCATTGAGGTCAGCCCTTCGAATAGGCCACCCAGTTTTGGTGCGCCATTGCCCACATTGTTGTTATTGCTATTGCTGATGTTGTTGTTATTGTTGTGTATTCGTTTCGGTGAACTCGTTGCGGATGACGTTGAATCGCAAATCTGTGCGTTATCGGGGAAAAATAACAAACAATTGTCTTTATTTACTTACACATAGTATGTATGTAACTAGAAGTACAAATAATTAAAAGCTATAAAATTTAAAGGCGCACAAAAACAAACTAAAAGTATATGTATGTATATATGAGCAATATTAGCACATGAGACACACCTTTCCTGCTAGGGCTGGTCCGCTTTTATCAACCGTTGTAGTCTTTTTCAGTTTAGTGCCCTTTTGTATGGACTGTAGGAGCGCTGAACGCACATCTCCACCACCGGCACCACCTAACTTCAGGCCTCCCATTGCCGGAGGCGGTGGTGGACCTGGTGGAGGCGGTGGGCCGTGCGGTGGTGGAATAGCCATCTGCAAGAAAAGAGAGAGTTGTATTTGAGTACATAATTTTGATTAGATAAAATTAAAAAATACGAAAGTAAATGAAGAATAGGTTTTATAAATATTTATCGCATCAGTCCTAGTTATTCTGAACGTTACTGAACATTTTGTAACCAAAATTTTGAATAACAAAAATTCGTGTGTTAACTTTATTTGCTGGCTACAACATTTTTGTTACCAGCACAGAATATATCGTCGGTGCATACTAAGCAAGACACGCGACTGTTTTGACGGCGAATAAGGACGTGCAAAAAATAAGACGAAGAAAGACGAGTAAACCTATATGACGGCGAAGAAAAACACGCGATAAAAGTAGACGCGTCTTTTTCTCATCAACAAATAGGTTTTTGCGTCTTTCTTCGCCGAAGTTTTTTTTAAATGCCTGTTTCACTGTCAACTTTGAGCTGGAGTCTTTTTTCGCAAATTTCGCATTCTTCAGATAAGTTATGTTCAGCACCCATATCCCCAGTGGCACAGTAAAATAAATATGTAAATACAATATCAGTCATGTCAAAGTGATAATGGGGCTTATGACTAAACAATTGCTTTTTCTTGAAATTTCAGACCTTTTACTCGATTTATTAAAACAAATTTGAGTAGAAGGTTTTAAATTTTAAGAAAAAGCAATTGCTTATGTTTATTTATTTTTTTTAAGAATTTTCAATTAAAACACAGTTCATTCTCTAACTAAACCCAAGTTTAAAACTTTGAAGAAAACTAAAAAAAAAATGCAAAAAGTTTACATCAAAATTTCAAACTTTTTTCTCGGAAGTGTTAGCATTTTTTTGAGTATACAGTTTTATAGCCCATTCACAGTGCATAGTTAACTAAAATTAGGATGAACATTTTTTGTATTTTTTTTTTTTAAATTTCTACAAAGCTTTAAAATGGGGTTTATATGGGTTTTGTTCAAAGACCGAGAACGCGTTTAAATTTTGGATTAGTTTTGCACGAGCACAAAATGTAATGTCAAGAACGTTCCCACAAAGGGCCAAATGGGAGCAAAAGTATTGAGAGCAGTTTAAACGGGAACAAAATGCAAACAAAACTCTCGGAAACGTTCTCAAGAAGAACATAATGAGAACGAAACTTTCGGGAACGTATCCAATGAGAACAAAATAGAAAACGAAAATATCGAGAACGAGAAGGATCAAATAAGAACAAAAGTATTGGGAAAGTTATGCTAGAGCACAAAACGAAAACAAAAGTTTTGAAAACTCAACGTTGAGAATGACGCCCCCTGCGTGTTGGGATGACAAATCATTTCATTGAGAACCACGATTGTTAATTTTAAGCTAGAGGAAAGCTGGATAATTTCAACTTCCAGATCGTTTATCACTAGGGTGAACTGTGCATTTATGGAACGATTTTTCATTTTCTGGGCAAGAAAATTTCGTGTCTTAAGTCTTTCGTTCATTCAGCTCCTTTTTTTGTAAAATTTAAATATTCAACATTTCAAACTAATAGAACGCTATGAGAAAAATTTTGTTCTCAGTTCCATTCTTCGCGAATAGTTCAGAGAAGATTTGGCCAAAAATGCTTGTGACTTTAGCTTCCAAATTATTCTACGAGAGAAAGTTTCTTAGGTTTTGTTCCCGTTATGTTATTTGCCTAAACGTTCCGGAGACTTTCGTTCCCATTTTGTTCTCTTAGAAATGTTTCCGAAAATATTGTTCGCATTTTATTCTCTTTGTGAACGTTTCACAGGGTTATGTTCTTATATAATTCCCATTGAGAACGTTCTCGACAGTTTTGTTCTCATTTCGGTTTTGGTTTTGAAGCATTCTTGGGAAAAAAAAACTACGAGAGCAATACTTAGTTTCAATAATACCTTTTATTCTCGGCCCCTGGAAATTACAATAGAAATTCTTTGTTATGGAATTCGAAAAAAATTGCATTTGAAATTACTTTTAAGGCATTGAAAAAGTAATAAATTCCTTTGCTGTGGCCTGAAGGAATTGATTCCTAATTACAATTACTGAGAAATGTAGTCGTAATATAATTGCATTTACCCAGCTCTGGCTATACGTTATTGTAAGACTTCATTTCCTACCAAGACTGCCTAAACATTTGATGTTGTATACATCTTGAGCATCTTTGAAGCCACTTCTTACTCCAACATTACGTACAAAACGATTCCAATAATTTTGAAAACTACATATAACAAAGTTAGAGACTCATTCGCCCTTGCTTTGCTCTTATCAAAATGGTTGTAATCTCTTTTTAAGATAAACGGATTTTCTAAGTAAAAGTAATAAAGAAATATTTTAAGTGATATATGTAATTAAAAAACATTTATAAAATTAATAATATTACTACAAAATTAAACCATGATCTCACCATCTTACAATGGGCTATCACAGCAGCGTAAAATAAGCGAAGACGCAATATAGTTGAAGATACAATTGAGGAATTCTACAAATGTCAAAACGGTCATAAAGTTTAAAGCAGCCAATATGGTTTCGGGTTGCTGTGAAGCACCCTAAAATGTTTTCGGCCTTCATAAAATGTATCATAATAAATATGATTAGTCATCAGGAACCGCAAATAATGGCGAAAAGTTTCAACTCAAAACAAAAAAAAAGTGCTGAAAGAGAAATTTTGCGTGCATAGGGTACCAAGCAACATAAAATAATCGTTATTTTTAAGTTTTATTTTTTGCTTAGAAAATAAAACTTACGTTTTTGATATTTTTTGTTATGCAAAGGCTTAAGATCAAAATAGAGATTAATTAATCTATTAATATTACGGCAATGGTATTGGGTAAGGTAGTTGTAATGGTAATGTTAAAGGTAATAGTAATGATAATTGCAATGGTAAAGGTAATGATAATGTTAATTTTCAACTTCGAATTGGCGTTCGCATTTGAATTCATGTTCGTTTTCGTTTTTGTAATCGCTTCCGTCTTTGGTATTTGTTTCGGTCTTCGTATTCCTCTCCGTATTCGTTTTCTTATCATACGTTTTACGACTTCTTTGACATATTCGTATTCGTATTCGTGATCGCTTTGGTATGAATGTTCCCTTTCGAGTTTGTTTTTGTATCCATCTTCGTATTCGTCTCCGGCTTCGCAGTCTCATCATTCGCCTTTGCATTTTGATTTGGCGGAGAACCGCACTCAGACTACATGCTGTGCATTGTACTGTTTTCGTGTTCCCTTTTAACATTTTTTAAATCTACGATTTACGAATAAACCGGAGAAGATTTTTGGGTGTTAAAGAGCTCATCGCTGCCAAAAACCTCATACCAGATACTTGCAAAGGCGGGCAGAAGCACCAAAAGTGTTCCGCTGTCTCATCGCCTTCAAGGCAGAAAGGGCAAATGGGATTGTAATGTATGCCCATCACAGTCAGGTGTTTATGCCACGAGAAGTGACCAGTCAACAGTTCCATAAGTTGTCTGCAGTCCCATCTGCAAAATGAAAGCATATATGTATCTAGCCAGACCATCTGAGGTTGAGGACAAAATGAGTTTTGCCCACCTTTGGCCATTGAAGCTACCGTTAACAACTGGGTGAATATTTCGCACTGGGTGAGTGGGTGGCTTGGAGGAGCCGCAGTGCTCTAATTTTTTGTGGACCGAAAAATACCTGGTTTCTCTGGCCACGACCACGGCGGTGTCACACGATTGGTACATTTGTCATTTTTTTATATTGGGCTATTGGTAAAAAATAAAAAAAAAACTGGGACGACAATTTTCTTTTGTAGTCATACGATTGGTGCTATACGGCGAACGTCTATTGAACGACTTGAACAAATTCTTTTTCGTGATTGGGATAAAGAAAAATATTTATGCATTCACGATTGGGACAAATGCCCAATCATGTAAAACTGCCTTAAGCAAAACATAAAACTCAAATAATAACTTTTATTTTCTGAGCAAAACACACAAACACACAAAACTAAAAAATGATTACAATCATTAAAAAGTAATTTTTTATAAAAGTTATAACCGTTACAGGATTCGAATTTGGCATGCAAATTATCCCATTAGTTCTAGCATTCAAAAGATTTTCAATTTAATGTGTCAAAAAGCACTTTTTTTGCGTTTTTTTTTTTAATATTTTGAATTTAATGTGTCAAAAAGCACTTTTTTTTGCATTTTTCAAACATTTATTGTAGAAAAAAATTCGGAATAGAACCTTTCGAATAAGGTAAAAAGAAAGCCCTTAACCTAAAGTTGAGGCCCTCACCACACTTACGCACTCAGTTTCCGTTGAACGCTTTGTTATCAGTTTAGCGGCTATTGTACGAGTGTCTTTTATTTAAAATTGCTCTGCAGAACTAATTTCCGTAAATATGAAATCATTGAAATTCATTGATCATTTGTAAGTCGTAATATTGTAAAAAGAGAAATTGCTTGGCTGCTTAAAACCATGCGAAACTTTCTGCAACGTACCATCAATCCAAGCATTCTGAGTAGTTGTCATAGCGATACTATTGAAACCGATTTATTCTGCAGTGCAAAAAACTAGTTAGTCATAAAGTTCTATTATAGCGAGGAATATGCGCCTGAATACATTTGTTGTCACATTTAATTGCTTATTTGCATTAGTGCAGCAATAAAAAATTACCAACTTTAGATGGAGTAGAGAACGAAGTTAGGCGCTAATTATGAGGGGTATGAAAATGAAATAACAGAACTACCAAAACAAAAGAGGTAACAAATTTCTATGACTGTAAATGGAGCGCAATGTAATAGAAATTTCCGGTAAAACTATGCATGGAAAAAAGTGTGAATGCAAAATTTTTAAAGAACGTTTAGTAGCTAAGTAACCTCGATTTCCGGGTGATTTAAGAGCTTAGCATTTGACTCTTCCTTACATTTTTATTTTTGGCAAGCAAAAAAGGAAGTAATAAGCAAATAATAGAACTTTTTTATTTTTAATTTTATCTTTTTTTTTGTTTTGCATGAAAAGTTAATTCTTATGCGCTGCGCAAAAAAGAATTGAGCAGCTGAAAAAGGCACTTGAACCTGAAAAAATGTTACGCGCAGCCGCAAAACGTGGTTTGCATACCAAATCACCGTGTAAATAGAATCGACGAATGAGCGAACGAACGAACTTGTGATTTATTTGCTTGAGTAACAAAATCAGAAGACAATAAATATGAGCGGACAACCGTAGGTCGTATGAATCGTATAAACAGCAAGCGGCAAGCAGCAACACCAACAACATTAACTATAAAATGACAATGACAAGTCGTAAATAGCAAACAAACAAAAAAATTAAATAAAAACTTTACAAAATACCCACACGCGCGCACCGCATATAAGAATCATTTAGTTTTATAAGGTATTAAATGAGTCATCAATGAATCAAAGATGCAAATAAATAGAAAGAGAGCGAGAGGAATGATTAAGAAAACTTACAAGCCACTTTTAAAACGGGATTTGAAAAATAAATTGCAAATCGTAGCTGCAAAAATGCAAGCATGAGTAAGCCAAGCTACGCGATGCGTTTGTCAAATGTGATCGATATTCAAAGTCGATTATTTTTAATGCATAAATTATTTACCTTTCTATTGGACGCTTGTTGACAGTTGCACTTTTATTTATATGTATTTTGCTTCGGTCTAAATAACAATGACTAATTGTGCAGATCTTGTTTTTTTTTATTCGATTTCTTTGAACTAGCACGCAAAGTACAGAGATTTCTGCAGCTGTTAAGTTTAAATTCCAGCCAAGATTTTGTTTACATACACGCGAGACACCTATAAACAAAGACGCCGTAGGTACAAATCTCGCGTATAATCACAGGTGAGTCAGCAGCTCTTGGCGAATATTTCTTCAGAAACTTTTTTCCAATAAAAAAGTGCGAAAAGACGCGTCGAGCTATTACTTTACATTTCTTTTGTGGAAATTATTTCATGGCACCACACGCAAAGTGAAGATCAGCAGCAGCCAAACGCTGGTATTTTTAAGGCACAGTCTTTATTTTTATTTCCAATAAAAAATTAAATTTTTACTTGTTTGGCACGCTGCCCCGAAAAAATCGCGGCCAACATTTATATCAGTTTTTTTTTATTAAATTATTTGCTACACTCTGCTTTAGCATTAGCAAATAAAAACTTTTAAACGCACCACACGCAATGCACGCACGCGTATTCACACATCACCGCTCGCGTTCAACGCGCAAATGGAAACAAAATAGTTTCGAAAAACGGAACGGCACACAACACTCGCCGGCCGACTGCTTTGCTGCGATTAGCGCACTGGAAGACTACATCAAAGCCATCACCATCGCCAGCAGTGTCAGCGTCAGCGCGCGATGACGAAGAAGCTAACAAGCCGAGTACGCTAGCAAGGTAGCTAAGCTAGTGTAATAAGCAAAAGCAAGGCATGCGGGCAAGGCAGCAAAGCGCAGTGTTCCGACGACGCTGCGGGAGCAATGAGACTACAAATGTATTTACGTGAAAGATATGTATGTAAGTACATTTACACAAAAATACCAGCTAAATGCCCAACCAGCCTCAGACTAAAGTGACTTAAACGTTATTGCCTATGCTACTCTACTCTTCCCGATGCTATCTGAGCTAAATACTTACAAATGTCTGAATGTGGAGCTCCTGCAGGCGGCGCGTGCCCACATTGATTCGTTGCCGACGAGTTTGCCTCCGGCTGAGTGTGAGATTTTCAAGAAAATGACGTCACCGACATTGCTGATTGTAAAAATGCTCGTGAATTATATTCTTGCACACTCTCATAGCTAATTGATAAGCTCTGCTTATATAGCGACAGATTTAAATCTGTTAAACGCGTAAAAGAAAAAAAACAAGAGTCTAGAATCCAGACTGCAAGTATGTAGATCGAGGATAGACTCTGATTGATGATTCAACACAGCAAATTTGTGGCAATTTAAAGTTGAATTTAACAAAATAAATTACACGAATGAATTGTTCTAATGCTTAGTAGTTAACCCTTAGTGGGTGATGTGATATATAGGAACCATAGTTGTTATCTTTAGCGCTTTGGCAACCCGGGCCAGAATCCAGGCATTAGTGATCGAAGGATTAGTTGTTTCGAATCGAATGACTGAAATTTACAGTTGCTTTCTCTCTAAGACAATTTTAATTGACAAAGCGGAGCCAAATCTTGGAAAGTCCCGCGAAGGGAGTATTAATTTAACAGTTACCAGCTCTGATATGTAAATCCAGGGACCGTAATTGTTATGATCTTTATTCTAGTTTTCCTATCTAATTTAACCGTTATTTTATGATTTTTATTTATTTCGATCAAGAACCATCGTAATCTATTTTTTTATTTTTATTTTTCGATCATACAATAACCGTTATTTTCGGATTATATTTTTTAGAACATAAAAGATTTAAAACGGTCTTAAAAATGCAATCTCCATCATAACTTTAAAAAAAAAAATCGAAAAATAAATAAAAGTCCAAAATGACGAGTACTATTTTTCATCGAAAAAATAAAACTTTCAAAATAACTATTAAATTTGACCGAAAAAATGGTAATCCAAATTTGACGATTATTCTTGATAAAAAATAACGAGTTTGCAATTATGTATCTAACAGCAACCTTTATTATCTTTGATTTTTTTTCGATGAATTTTTTATCGTTATTTTTAATTTTTATTTTTTGATGATATAAAAGTTATTTTCAGATTTACTTTTTTAGATCATAAAAGATTTTAAATGGTCATGAAAACACAATCTTCATCATAACTGCTAGAAACTATCGAAAAAAATAAAAAATCCAAATTTACCAAGTATTCTTGTAAAACAAAAAGTACTCTGCAATTATGTAAAAACCGTTACAACGCTGACGAATTTTTCTCTCCATTGATCGTTTAAACGATGGAAAAAAAATAGACTACGAAAATCAGTCTTGTCAATTTGGAAGAAAATTAACTTCTCATATGAGTTTGTAAATGGTACAACCTAAAGTAAAAAAATATCTGATTTTGAGATAAATTTCGAAATTTTGGCTTTCAGTCTTGGAAGTTAAATTTATTTACTCCGACTTACTGCTTAGAAATAATACACTCAAATTCTTAAGTTTATTCTCGTTTCATTCGGTATCGATTACCGTGGAATGAGCCCGTTATATATTTTTTTTTATTTTTTCTCTCAAGAGTAATCGTTATTTTTTTAAATATTTAGGGACAATTTCTGATTTTTTTTTTTCGACCACACTATGTATAACCGTTATATTCAGATTTAACGCTTTAGATCATAAAATTTTTAAAATACCATATATTTTATTTTTAATAAAAAATAAAAATCCAAATTGAATGATTATTCTTGATCAAAAAATTAAAAATCATTAATTGTGATTTTGCAATTATCAAATTAAAACAATCGATAGACTCCATGTTGCCGTGGTCCGATTGCGTGTTCGTCTCGGGGAGGAGAAGGTTCAAAGAGAGTTGCCACCTGCTTAAAAAGTTAAAGTAAATCAAATTAATCGGATTCATCAAATACCGCAATACGGCTTTTAAATCGCAAAGGGCTAAGCAGAGCTCATTTAAAGCAAATATTTTTTTAAGAAGGTTGTCCCCTGTTTGAAAATTTAAATTCCATTGACTTGATTAGATGAAAGAAATATTACAATGTGTTTGTCAAGTGCAAGAGATTTAAAACAGCTCACTTCGCAAAATATTTTAAAGCAGGTTGCGACCTGTTTGAGTAATTAAATTCGATCACATCATATATATGGGGAATTCCATACCAAAATGGACGGAGTTCACACTTCATGTGTTTGATTTGTTTCAAATTTTTAGGGTTGATGAATAAACATAAATAATAAATAAATATGAAATTTGAGCTTGACTAATAAATTTTTATAAACTTTACAGCACAAAAACAAAAACCAATCGATTTAATAGTTTTTCAAATATCTCGAGAACAGGGCGAGAAAAAAATTAAAAAAAAAATCACACATACGCACATCAAAATATTTTTTATTTTTATTTTTTTCTTGAACAATTTTTCACACACAAATTTTTTGATAATAAAATTAGTTTTTGAAAATACGCCGTCTCAAAAAAAAGTTTAATGTAATCATAATGGTAGCTCTGAGTATTGCGCAATATTTAAGTATAGTATTATGCGGTGCACTCCACAATAATTTGAGTTATGAATTTTTCGTTTCTATCGGCGAGTAGAAGGTTTATATCTAGGTTAAAATAACAAAAGAGTTGCCATCTGTAAAAAATCAAACTCAGCTTATATCCAGGTTAAAACAACAAAAGAGTTGCCATCTGTAAAAAATCAAACTCAGCTAAGTTAAACGAATTACTACAATATGGGTATCAATCGAAATGTTTTGGAGAAGACTAATTTCTAAACTGCACGTAGGAGGGTTGCCACCTGTCTACAAAACTAAATCCAACTTGAATTAAAGGAATTGCGTAATTGAATTATGTATCAAAACATGGTTGCCAGATGAAATAGGTTAAAAAAGGCTGCAAATTGAAAACATTTTGAAAAGGGTTGCCACCTGTTTAAACATTAAAATGCATTGATATGTTATGGCTATCACTCGAAAAGACTTTGAAAAGGTATAATTACTAAAATACATTTACTTGGTTGCCACTTGTTTAAAAAGTAAAATTCAAGTTGAATTATAGGATTTAGGTAATTAGAATATGTATCACAATTGAGTGTCGAGACGAAAGAGGTTTAAATAGGTTATATTTTGAAAATACTTTGAAGAAGTTGCCACCTATTTAAAAAGTCGAAGTAATTTAATTATACACAAGTTAAATGAAATATGTATTAAAATATGGGGCTACCCGGCAGACCCTTTAGTGTAGCCTGTGTAGACAGAAACTTCAATTTCCTGAGAAATTGATAAAATACAAAAAAGCGTTGTTTGAATTTGAATGACGCGTATTCTGTGGAGAACTTGCCTTTTTGACTCATTCAAGTCGCTTTTGTTGGTCGCAAAAAATATGATTCAATTCCGCCTTGACACTTTTTTCCACGTAAATCTGCTAAAAGCCAAAATTTTTATTATATTATTTGCATATACATACATAGTAAAGGAGATAGGGACGCATTGACAACCAAGCAACAAAGTTACAACTAACAAAGAATAAATGTAAATAATTTTCTTAAGTTTGCTTTGACAAATACAGCTGCAGGCAAACCGAGTTTTAATGAGTACTTGCATTTATCACCAATGAGTAATTGCATACATATGGCGCAATTGTGTGACTTGAATGCGAATTGAGATTAAAATGCAGATACCTTAGGAGTTGCTTTTTTAATTTTGCTTTTTAGGTTTTCAAAATTTTTTCGTCAGCTGAACTAAAAATTCTAAGGTTAAAAGTTCTAGGCTATCGAGATATCGTTGTCGATGTTAGAGGGCGCAAAAGTAAAAGTTTCTATACATCTAAATAAGACAAGCTCTTTTGGCATTAAAAGCGCTTGTCCTCTCAACGAAAATCTTCAATCAGATGCTTAAAGATTTTATAAGATTTGGGCACCTATTTTTTGATTTTCTCCAACTATGGCTATTGACTGAAGCCGGAGATACTTACAGTCCGCGTCAGATGTTAGTGTACACTTTGTTCTAATTTAAATAATATTCACAATTATATTCATGAACAATTTTTTTCGTTAATTACCTATTTATAAAAATTAAGTTCATACTATAAACTGTATATATAAATCAAAGTTCCACTTTTTATATAAAGTTCACAATAATTCAAAAAAATTGTATCAAAATTTCGAAATTTTTATTCAGAATTTCTAGAAAATTTTCGGAGGATGCAGTTTTGTAGCCCGTTCAGTTTTGATCGAATTTAGAATTTTTTTTTTTGTGGAGGTATGCATTGGGTGTTGCGCATTTTCTGCCATATAGAAAAAGATTTTGATCATGCGTTATAAGAAAGAAAAGACGCAACCCCTGCACAAAAAAATCTAAAAAATCAACGGTTATCTTTAGCGACTTTAAACTAGCATTTTGTTTTACTAAAATTGAACGGGCTACAAAACTGCATGGTCGAAAATTTTCTAGAAATTCTGAATAAAAATTTGGAAACTTTGATGAAAATTTGTTGAATTTGTATTGCTTTTATATAAAGTGTGAAACTTTGATTTATACGGTTTATGTTATGGAATAAACTATATTTTCAAAAGTAGTAGTTAATGAAAAAAACTTTTCATTAAAATAATTTCGAATATTATATTAGAACAAGGCGTACACTAACATCTGACACTGACTGTATGTAAGTGAAACCTTTTTGGATAAAAAAGAAATATGAGAGCGATGGGTATGGCACAAAACCTAGGCAAAAAACGAATATATTTGAAAATCACTAGATGATGAGGAGGCGAGCGTTAAATTCTATTTCACATACCGCGGCATTCCATTTAAAGATGAAACCAAGATCCCTTCCTCACGAAACAGTAGGTTGGTC